TTCTTGACAGATCGAAAGACATTCAAGAATATTTCCAAAATTTTTGGACACCGGTAACGCCCTCAAAAACATTGCTCAATTGATCTAGCATTTTCTAGGTTTCTCGATTGGTTCTTTTTTTTCTTTGACTCTTAGTGCTTTAGGTTATTTTGTTTTTCCTTTTTATTGTTCTTTTGCATTATCTAACACATTATCTTTCTTGTGTTAATAGGACTAAAGAGTTTGCATACTTCTTCATTCTTTGCATTCTCGTTCTCTTAGAGTCTAACCCTTGTTTGGCCTCTTAGAGCTTTTAGGTTTTTCTTATCACCTTTACTAGTAATCAAACTCCGATACGAGCTATGCAAGACTACTTAGTAAAGTGAGTTTTAAAAAGTACAAGATTGGCTTACTTGCCTCTCGTTGTGTTACTTTCTTGGAGTGACTTGTGAGGTTTCTTGCTTTGTTGAATTTTCTTTCTTTTATTTTTCTTTTACTTTAAAATTTTCTTTCGAGTGTTATGATTTCAGGATTAGCGACAATAACAAAAAGACACTTACGGCTATCTTAGCTGCACTTGCACGGCTTACAACTCAAGTTGAAAGATTTGATGAACTTACCAATACCTTGAAAGAACAAGAACAACAACTGGATCTACCAAACCAGAATCCAAGACCAAACAATGTTGAACTTTTGGTACCCAAGCGAGAACAATCACGTTTCCAAGTACCCGAACTCATTGCAAAACCAAAGTTCACGATTCCGTCTTTCAAATGAGATAACGATCCGGACAGGTACATCGATTGGGAAGGAAAAGTTGATCTCATGTTCGCATACCATGACTGCCCTTAAGCTAAACAAGTTCCCCTCATCACCACGCAATTCGAAGGATATGCTCGAACTTGGTGGATGCAAACAAGGAAAAAGATCTAGAACTTCCAGATTCCAACAATCACTTCTTGGATCGAACTTAAACAAACCATTAGGAAGCGATACCTATCGACACATTATACACGAGAAGTTAAACTATGACTACACCGACTTCGACAAGGTAGAAGTTCAGTTGAAGACTACTATAAGGAGATGCAGTCCTTACTCAATAGGGCTAACATAACCGAAAAAGAAGAGGTCACCATGTTAAGATTCATTGTTGGCTTAAACTCAAACATCACTGATCTTCTTGATCTACATGGTTATGAAAACCTTGAAGATACACTAAAGAAAGCAATGACAATCAAAGCACAAATCCAAAGGAGATTCTGATTTAGAGAACATTACTAAGGTAATTTATCCTCTTACCAAGGTAATCCTTCAAATCCTTCCTCATCTTCTACTCCACCTTCTCAAGAAAAGTTGAAAGATGATAAACCCGACAAGGAGAAACAACGACCAGCAAAGAATGACACACTTCCATCCCCTAAAGATCAAATGAGAATTTGTGAGGAGGCAGGGAAAGAAAAAAAAGAAAAAGATAAGAAAGAGGAAAAAGTAAAAGAGGTCACTAGTTACAAAAGCCAAAAGAATAATGACCCATGGGAGGTGAGTGAACCTAATTATGAGAAGAAAAGAGTGTCTCAAAATCTATGTGTGAGCACAAAAGAATTGAGAGAGAACCTTCTTTACAAACAAACTTCCATCCTCGTTCACTTTAGGGAATTAATTGTTTCGATTTCTAACATTAACAAGGATTTGCCTAATGTGTTTTCATCTTTGTTACAGGATTTTTGAGAAGTGTTAGGAGATCCACCTAACGAATTACAACCGAAAAGAGGAAAACAACACCAAACCAATCTAATTTAAAGTTACATCACACCTCGTCAAATATACAATATCGAAGACACCGAAGAGTTAGATTTGTTACGAAAGGGCTACATCCAGGAAAGCCTTAGTCGTGATGCCATCTTAATGATGAAACATGACTTGAACAACTCCACGGGTTTTATAGTTTGTGCACATGGAATCCATGTGAATGATGAGAAAGTAAAAGCAACACGAGACTGGCCCACACCATCTTGCATAGCCATGAGTTGTCGAATAAAGTTTGGTTACCCTCTTGACAGGTTACCACCTGCAAGCTCTAATCACTCTGCCATATCAATGAAGAGTCATGATTTACGGGAGTCCAAAGGTAAGTATTTTATTACTCATTTTAATGACATTGTAACATACTTCTTCTCCTTTTTACAAGGTAAGGCTCGTGAAGTTGTCATCCATACTAAACACAACTCCTTTAAGTGTGTAACAGACCGAGGTAAGCAAAACACATTAGACAATGCACTACCACGAAGGTATACTCTTAAGCATACTACCATTCTGAGAATTGAACATATCAAAGATGTATATCACGATAACTCAGATATTTCTACCCATACTTTTAAAAGTGCTTTTAATGAGCTTTATCTTGTATATGAGTTTCTTTGCCAACTAAACAGGTTCTATAATCCATAAATCTCCTGCCAAGAATTCTTAATTCATGAACCACGCTTAGAAGACTTAAGGGATTACTTTAACAAACTAGTTGACATGGTTTTTAAACAATCATTCTCGCCACACACGAATAAAACCATGGAGAAATTATCTGAAACAATCATACAGAAAGCCAACAGTGGTTGGCGCCATGTTAAATTGCAACCTAAACATCAGATTACAAGACTTGTATGCAAAAGAGGATTTCAAGACTACAAGAAATCAATTCATACAAAGAACAAACCTCGACTAAAAAGCATAAAGACACATTACACTGATCCTGGTAAATGTTTCACAAGTTTTCCTTTCAACACATCTAATTCTCTTTCTCTTGGATTTTCAGATTCGAGGATGAATCCTTTTGAGGAGTGGGGGAATGATACATGCACCAGAGTCCATAATACATGCTTCTTTGGACTAATATTTCTACTCGAACCTATTAGAAGAACAAAGTCTCGAAGATTGAAAGCATATCTATTCGGTAAGTATAACGTGAATGAATCATTAAACGATTCTAATGTTGCTCCCTTTAATGTTTTAGATTCGAGGTTGAATATTTTTGAAGAAAGAGAGGATGATACCTACATCACAAGGCTCACAATAAAGTAATAAGTAATAACTCTTCCAAATGATCCACTCGTCCAAGCATTGGAAAAGAAGATCATAACTAAAGCAGACTTGCGATGACTTTTTGAATGGGATCCTAATCTTATTTTGTTAATATGTCTTCTAGATATATAACCGTATGTCTCTTGTATTTCTAATGGTTCTTGAATTGCATCAATCCGATATCGGGAACTCAAGATATTTTCATTTTACTGAAGACGGTGCATGAAGAAAATCCTATACGAGATTAATACGGGATTTTATAAATATTACGAATTTCAATATTTTTATTGATTATTTGTAATATAATTTAATATAGGATGATGATATCTTTTAGGATTAGATTTATTATTTTATTAGGAATTAAGGTTGTGTTAAAATATTATTTTTAGTTATTATTATTTTATTAGAAATTAGAGTTAAGGCATGTTTATTTTATTATTATTTTATTCATTAGTTATTTAGGAGCTTTAGAACTCAACCCCTATATAAAGGAGGCTTCATTCAACTTTGTAATTCAGATTTCTTTGATTAATAATACAACGAGAGTTCGTTTTTGCAAGTGCTGATTGTCTTATGCCTTCGAAGCTTCTTCTCCTAGAGTTCTTTCAAGTTCTTGTGAGGGAGATTAATCTTTACACTCCAATTTGCCTTTTCATTACGACTAGGAGGGTTGGTTAGAGCCATATTATCGTGTTTTCCTTTTCATTGTGACTAGATGGGCTCGATAAGACATTATCCATCGATTTTCCACATATCCATCCATGCCATCAATCATCTTTATTGTTCACTTTCATAAGGGAGATCTTTTGATTTCTTGGTTATTTTTATTTATTTTCAATTCCTTTATCTTTTATTTATATTGTTTTAATCTTGTTTCTTACTTTGTTTCCAGCACCAAAAAGAAACCATAAAGAACCCTAACTATTGCCGCCACCTTCCCCATTCATTCCTTATTGTTCTTCATCGAGTCTAGAGCTTTTATAGGTTTGATTCTTCAAGAAGAGCAACGTTCATCAATCCACCACCCTCCCTATCAATATACTTTTATTTACTTGTTCATTTATTTTACTTATTATTGAAACTCATATTATCATCACTTTTAATTCTCTTTACAGTGCAGTGCAATAAGTTAGAATTTAGAGTTTCACCAATCCCTATGGAGACAATATATTTCTATATTATAACTTGCGACATGTATACTTACACCAAATGCGAAGCACTTAAATTATACAACAAGTTTTTGGCACAGTTACCTAGGATTGGAAATAGCGACTTTGATTTTTATTTCTTGTACCTTAGTTTTTAGTATTATTTTTCTTTTTGATTTTCTTTCTTTTCGGATTCAAGGATCTTAAAATTTTTGGTTTTGTATCTGTGTATGAGTAGGATGAGACCAACATCATCAAAGTATCCATTTGAACCCAAAATAGAGTGAGTTCTTCATAGAAGAATACGAGAGCAACGAGTAACAATGGGAGGCTGACTCGTTGATCCAATTGATGACCCTAATGCTTTTGGTTACCAGATAGGTGAAGCAAGAGGACGAGGAGATTTAGTAGAGGGACTTGGTCAAGTAAAGAACAAACCCATTTGAGACTACTTAGAGAAAGATCATAACGGTCTCAATCCAAGAGTTGTCACACCTGAAATAGAAGCCACCTACTTCGAACTAAAACTAATAATGTTCAATATGATCAACACAATTGGTCAATTTGGTGGATCAGCAACAGACGATGCGAGATAACATCTCAAATCATTCCAGGAAATTTATAACTCATTCATGTAACAAGGAGTCCATGAGGATGTCCAAAGGCTGAAATTATTCCCCTATTACTAAGGGATAGGGAAAATCGTGGTTAAATAGTATCTTATCCGGATCTATTGAATCTTGGACGGATTTATGTTGTGATTTCATTGCTAGATTTAGTTATTCAAATATGACTGATAAATTGTGTAATGATATTACTTCTTTTCGGAAGGCAAATGATGAATCCATGTTCGAGGCTTGAGAGCGATACAAGGAGCTTTAATACAAATGTCCCATGCAAGGATTCCCAATATGGACACAAGTGATGATGTTCTACAACTCAGTGAATACACCGACAAGGATGATAGATGCTTCGGCAAATGGCATACTCCTCGACAAGTCACCGTATTAAGCAATGGAGATTCTGAACCGTCTTACCAATAATGATTATCAGTTCCCAACTACCAGAAGAGGAGGAGTCCGACGTAATTCCATAATAAATGAACTTGATTAATCGAAAACTATTTTGCATAGTTGGCTACTTTAAGTAACTTGGTTAAAAATATGCAGCGACCAAGAAATCCACAAGAGATCAAGGTAGTAAATTTCTTTTACGAGTTATGTAATGGTAACCATGATTCTTTTGAGTATCCACAGAACCCATAATCTAGTTTTTATGTTAGAAGCTATAACTGGAACAACAATGTGATTTCCACCACATAAACATCAGCCTGGAGGGAGCACCCTAATTTCTTATGGAGCAACCCGAACAATGGCCTCAATCAAAACAATTGGAATTAAAAAATATTGGGATTCCAACATAACATACCAAGGCAACAAATGGCACAGCAACAATCAACACCATATAGTTATTTTGGAAAATACTCTAAAATGTTTTATGTTAAAAACTAAATCTTACACGGTCGATAATAGTATTTTCATGAAAATGACTAATGCTTTCATTAACATGACTGAGATGAGACTGCATAACCACGAGGCAACTTTGAAATCCTTGGAGACAAAGGATGGAAAACTTGCTCATAATTTGAACACAAGACTACTAGGTAGTTTACCCGGTAATACTAAGGTCGCACAGGGATTAGGCCACATGCAGTGTAAGGTAATCACCACCCGAAGTAGACATAAGCTAACCAAAACCCCTCCACAGCCCACACAGAGAACTCAACCAATAAAACATACTCATGTTCAGAAAGATGCATCCAACAACAATTCCTCAATCGATATTGATGAATCGATGGTTGCCCAGGTAAGTCCACATGCCTCGATAATTCTAGATATATTCATCAATCAAATTCTAAACATATGGGGAGAATGAAGAGATCTGAATTCCACCACCATTCCCTCAGTGGCTGAAAAGATAGAAATAAGAATACCAGTTCAAGAAATTCTTGGACATCTTGAAGCAAGTTCATATCAACTTGCCGTTGGTTGATGTGATCGAGCAAATGTTGAACTATGCTAAGTTACTTAAGGACGCCATGTTGCATAACCGAATGGTACCCAAAGTAAAAGATCCTGGTAGTTTTACAATACCATGTGCAATTGAAAATCACTTCTTCAGGAAGACATTGTGTTATCTTGGAGAAAACATAAAACTTATGTCGAAATTTGTGTTCCGAAGATTGGGTATCGGGAAGGCGAGACCTATAAAGTTATGCTATAGATTGCAGACATATCCTATAAGCAAATGAGTATTCACCTATTATCCTTGGAAGATCATTCCTACTAATGGGAAGAACCTTAATTGAAGTTGAAAGGGGAGAACTCACTATGAGAGTGAATGACCAGCAAGTCAAACTGAATGTTTTTCCAACATAAGGCATGCTGACGATCTAGAAGAATAGAAACTCATTCATGCCACCACTGAATTAAATTTTGAAGTAGATGAAAATTGCCATGGTAATCCTACTGCCAAACTGGAGGAAATTGAAGAACCAGACGATGGAGAGAAAGATGAAACTGAATAGTAAATAAATCGGGTAAATATTTTAGACCATTAGACTACTCAGGTAAGGAAAGTAAACTTGAAAAATATTCTATTGAGAAACCTCCCATGTTAGAATTGAATCCATTGATAGGGCTATTAGTACTTCCTTTCAACTATAGGTTAAAACGTTTTTGGGAAAATTGAAATCGAGATGGTTTGGGACGTTCGAGGCAGTAATACCTTTCTCAAATGGTGTCAAGTCTACCATCAATTGACAACGATTAAAGCACTATACCGGTGCCCATGTTGAATGCAACAATGAAGTGATTACTCTTTGAGAAGCATGAATATGCTCTCATTCAGTACTTTTATTGTTGAATTTTTTTCCTTTTATTTTTATTTTTGTTTTCTTTGGATTTTATTTTTGAAGTTCAATTTTCATTCTTATTTATTTTAGTCTTTATATATTTAATTTAGTTTATTTTTTATTTAATATTTATCTTTTTGTTTTGTTTGAAATTTAGGATAGGAGTTCAAGAAGAGTAGGAATTGGATGCAAAGAATTCAGACAAGTATATCTCTGAACTGATGATGTCACCATCGGTTTCACCATCAAAGTACAAAATGTCGCGAGCCGCAGAATTGGGATTGAGACATTAGTGCAAGTTTCTGACAAAGAGGTTCAAGATGAGGTATCAGGCTTGCCAAGACTTCCAGACTTGGCCCATCACTTGGAGAATGTTGTGGAGCCCATTCACATTGGCCGTGAAAAAAATGAAAGTGGCATCATATTCGAAGATGTTCATAGGAGCTTGGAAAATATGGCAGGGGACGATGTCATATCAAGGATGATTATGGAAGAATCTTTTCATATTCAGTGTGAACACCTATCCAAGGAAAGAATTCTACTAATGGATTTAATTAGATAGGATTGGGTTGGGTTTCCTTGATTTAGGGGATTATGTATTAATTTGACTCATCTTAGTCGTTGATGTAAATAGATTTAGGCCATTGATTTAAAGGGAGCTCAAATATAAATAGAGAGCCTCCCCTCCTTATTTGTAACATCTCATTCCATTCGTTCTCTTGGAAGAGCAATAAAGCTCTGAGGCATTTACTCTATCTCTTATGTTCTTTGTTCTTAAGTCTCTTTTTGCTGTTGCCTCTCTTAGTGGCTGGAGTAGCCATGCTTATGTTTGCACTTCCACACTATAGTCTAACCTTGGTGGCTTGGAGTAGCCACGTTGGTGTTAAAGCTTTTGCATCCAAGAATCCTTGAGGGCTTGGTTCCAACCTTGGTGAGTTTGCGTGCTCACTAGGCTTGGGTAAGGCTTACTTAGTGACAGAGAAGACCCAGAAGTGTCAAGAAGCTTCTAAGGTCGTACGTCCTGTCATACCTTAACTCTGATATTGTGACTGTTTGGGCTTGAAGGTTTTGAGAGAGTGACAAAAGCTTCAACCATCGAAGAGGTCGAGCACGAGACTGAACCAAGTGATGAGGTTGAAAACATAAAGGTTCAAAGTGTACCACCAGTAACACGATCCCCACCATTGCGAGCTAGCAAGGAAATCAGATAATTGGCTCGAAGGACACTCATCATTCAAGGTGATGACCTTTCTGACTAACCCATTCACTTTGCATTCATTAAGGACGATGCTCCTTTTGATTTTGGGGGGTTGTTTGATAATTACTTGCATTCATTTAGTCATCAAATATAGTTTCATATATTAGTTGCCACGACTTTTACTGTATTAAACTGCTTGGACTTGTTTAATATCAAATAATGAATTTTGCCACTTCTCTTAATAGATAAAACCTTTAATTTAGGATTTACATGGAAATTACATAGGATTTCACTATGATGCTAAATATAGTTTGACACGATTGAAACTTGTTGATGAAAGGAGACATAGTGAACTTAGGTTTCTTAAAAATTGGGTAAATAATAATAATTGCATGCTAGAGGTGCTCGAAACTTGCTCTAGTTATTACACATTCATGAATTATTAGAGGTGTCTGGAACAAGCTCTAGTTGCTACTCATTCAAGAATCGCTAGAGGTGCCCGAAACTGGCTCTATTCGACAAAAATTAAGAAATTGCTTGCTTTGCTAGAGGTGCCCAAAACTGGCTCTAGTCGACAAAAATTAAGAAATTGCTTGTTTTGCTATAGGTGCCCAAAATTGGATATAGTAAAAATTAAATACCCTAGTTATCAATTTGATGAAACCTGTTGTTCACATGGAATCCTATTAGTTGACTTGTACACAACTACACACACATTGTCATGAGCATTATAGTTTGAGTCTGAGAAATTTTTTTGCTATCTGAAAAATCAAAAGGTCATCATACTCTGTAACATAGTTCTGAGGATGGATTTCAAGTAAAAAGCATGTTTTTTATGGTCGATTGACAAGTAATTATTAGTTTTACATTACTTAGGAACAAGCAATAGTTCGAGTTTTGAGGTGTGTTAAGTGTATAAAAGTATTATATTTTCTACCCCTTTTTTATCATAATTATTGTTAGACTCTGGATCATTTTAGTTGCATTATTAATCATTCATGTATGATTTCATAGTTTCCTTCATCATTAATTTTGATATTACATTTTGGTTGGTTTTGTGGAAAAGATGATGTTGGTGTGTTTTAATTTGTGCATGTGAGGAATTGCCTTGGCAAGATGAAATTATCGTGGCATTGGAAGATGATTTATGAAGGGTCTAACGAGCCGATTGCCAATAATGATTAGATAAGTCCACCTCATTTAAGATAAGAATGAAAAACAGGGAATAAGTTCCAAAAATCTGGAAATCCACGCAGAGTTTTAAGTAGATAAGGAAGTCACATTTGCAAGGAGTTTAAGCATAAAGATAAAAAGATATTTATTATCTATTTTATTCCAACTAAAACTCTTCTTCATCAACAACCAATTCAACATAATCATCTCCTATAAATAATGATCAAATCTCAATCTGCAAGGTGTGACCAACTAGAAAGAGAAAGGCTAAACATCTTCTTCTTCATTTCTTGTTGATTCATGTTGGGAAATTTTTATTTTGTATTTTTTTTTCACTTAGCCATGAACTAAACTAAATTGTCTTGGGTTATTGGGTTTTATGGTTGTGAAAATGTTTGGATTTGTTTAAGTTCTTGGTTACGTTTTAGGTTCAAAGTTTGTTAATTCTTGGTTCTTTAATTGATTTCGAGTGAATTGTGAGAGGATCTTGAAATTTATCCATTTATATAATAGTGGGAGAGTTAGATTCAAGAAACGAATGAGCATGATCTTCATTCAAATGAAACGTTGATGAAGGTTAATTCATCTTAAGGATAAGATTCAGATTTCAATGGCTAAAA